TCACCCTACAAAGGGAAAATGGAACGAGCCGAGGGTCTTTTGGATTTGATCCATACAGACGTATGTGGTCCACTAAGTGTTAGTCCGAAGGGTGGATACAACTACTTCGCTACCTTTACCGACGATTATTCTAGGTATGGGTATGTGTACTTGATGAAGTACAAGTCCGAAACATTTGAAAGGTTCAAAGATTTTAGACACTAAGTAGAGAAGCAACTCGGACGAAGTATTAAGAAGCTGCGATCCGATCGTGGTGGAGAGTACTTGAGCATCGAGTTCATTGACTATCTAAAAGAGAATGGAATACAATCTCAATGGACTCCACCTGGAACTGCTCAACTTAATGGAGTCTTCGAACGTCGGAATCGAAATTTATTGGATATGGTTCGATCAATGATGGGGTTCACGAACTTACCGGCATACTTGTGGGGTCATGCACTTCGTACTGCCGCGTATTTGCTGAATAGAGTTAACACCAAAGCAGTTAAATCCACACCTTATGAACTTTGGCATTCCCAGAAACCCAACTACAAACATATTACGATACGGGGTTGTCCTGCTTATGTGAAGAGATTAGTGGGAGACAAGTTGGATTGCAAATCCGACTTATGCTATTTTGTGGGGTATCCTAAAGACTCAATGGGATACGAGTTCTATTATGTCAAGGAAGCAACGACGCTTGTTTCAAAAAATGCCACCTTTTTGGAAAGGTAGTTTCTATCGGATAGAAAAGGCAGCATGATAGAACTTGAAGTAGTTCAAGAACCACATAGTGAAGTTCAAGTGCAAGAACAAGTAATCGAACCAATACAACAATCCACTAATATACCTCCTAAACCTACGGTACGTAGATCCGAAAGAGTTCGGAAAATGCCGGATAGGTTATTCCTCCTCGAGAATGATGAAGATCATGTTGATCTTGGACAAGATCCAAGAACATACAATGAGGCCGTATCGGATGCGGACATGGGACATTGCTTAACTGCCATGAAATCCGAGATAGACTCCATGTACTCCAACAAGGTGTGGACCTTGGTAGATCCACCGAAAGGAATTGTTCCTATAGGCTGCAAGTAGATCTATAAGAAGAAAATTGGAGTGGATGGAAAGGCATCAACCTATAAAGCTAGATTGGTAGCGAAAGGATACACTCAAAGGCAAGGTGTTGACTATGAGGAAACTTTTTCGCCAGTCGCGATGCTGAAGTCCATTAGGATTTTGCTGGCCATAGCTGCGTGGTACGACTACGAGATATGTCAATTATGGATGTGAAGAGCGCCTTCCTTAATGGAGATATTGAAGAAGAAATTTACATGGCGCAGCCGGAAGGCTTCATATCTTCTGGAAGTGAGCAAAAGGTTTGCAAGCTCCAGCGATCCATTTATGGATTGAAACAAGCATCCCGTAGTTGGAACATTAGGTTCGACTCAACTATCAAAGAGTTTGATTTAGAGAAAAACCCGGAGGAACCTTGTGTTTACAAGAAGGTTAGTGGGAGGGCAGTGATATTTTTAGTGCTTTACGTTGATGACATTCTACTCATTGGGAATGACGTAGGAATGTTGCAACAAATGAAAGCATGGTTGTCCACACGTTTCTCAATGAAGGATTTGGGAGAAGCATCTTATGTATTAGGAATACGCATCTATAGAGATAGAGCAAGGAAGATGCTTGGCTTATCCCAAAGCATGTACATAGACACCGTTATGAAACGGTTTAGCATGGAAGAATCGAAGAAAGGATTCTTGACAATGTCCCATGGGGTTCGTCTCTCGAAATCTATGTGTCCGCAAACACTTAGTGAAGTCGAGGAGATGAAAAGGACGCCCTATACTTCTGCCATAGGAAGCATAATGTATGGCGTGCTGTGTACGAGACCCGATATTGCGTATGTTGTGAGTGTCACAAGCAGATATCAGTCTAACCCCCGCCCGGCTCACTGGAAGGCCGTGAAAGATATCCTCAAGTACTTACGAAGGACTAAGGATATATTTTTGGTTTATGGGGGGGTGCTGAGTTGAAATTGGAGGGTTTTACCGATTCTAGTTTTCAATCGGATGTGGACGACTCAAAGTCAAATTCGGGATTTATATTCACGGTTAATGGTGGTGCCGTGTGTTGGAAGAGTTCCAAGCAAAGCACGACGGCCGATTCCACTACCGAAGCGGAATACATTGCAGCGTCCGAAGCTGCAAAAGCAGGGACGTGGATAAGGAAGTTCATCCAAGAGTTGGGTGTCGTTCCTAATGCTAGTGATCCAGTACCGTTGTACTGTGATAACACCGGAGCCGTGGCGCAAGCTAAAGAGCCGCGATCTCATCAGAAGTCGAAGCATATTCTGAGGAAGTATCATGTGATCCGAGAGATCATTGATAGAGGTGAAGTTAAAGTAGAACGAGTCACCTCGGAAGAGAACGTTGCAGACCCCTTCACGAAGCCTTTACCGAGATCGGTCCATGAGAAACATCGAGAGTCGATGGGATTGCGATTCATGGGTAGTTGGCTTTAGGTCAAGTGGGAGATTGTTAGAGTAGGTGACCAACAAGCCAACATGTGGCTGTGGTCTTTCGTATTTATTATTGTAATAAACGAACCTTTATTCGTATTAATGTTAAAACACTTTGGCATTCTATATCTTTGTCCGTTTGTCACAAGCATGGATATAGTTCTTACAATTATTACATGTACTAGTAATTGATCGTTAGGATCGTGAGATATTTACTTAAGTATTATAGCTGTTAAACGTGTTCCTAGTCGAAGGGTTACGCCACCAATGAGGATATCGGCCTTTCCCATTAAGAGACTAGCACTTAGTGTATGTGTATTGCATCTCATCAATAAACGGTATTGTGATATCGGCATGCATAAGTGGGTGCTCGTAGGTTGACGAGTTCACTAAACTCCCTCACCCTAGAAATCTCTAAGTGGTTCCGAATAATCGAATAGAGATATCTATGGTATAGTTGTACACCATTAGTCCTTATGACCTAGACATCACCGTGACTTCACTAAAGGACCAGCTGTATCGTGAACTGCCCCTGAGTTCCACCGAGGACCATCTCAAGGGCCAGTGTTCGTGCAGTCCGAAATCTAGTGGAAGGTCTGTGCATTGTAGTCGGGGATTCGATCGCTAGAATAGTCTTGGATGTCCTGTGTGTTCTGAAAGTTTGTAATCATTCTAAGTCTCTGGCCAGAGCTGACTAAGTGATGATTAGGGAATCTGGTTCTCTAAGTCATGCACGTAACGGTTACAACACTTAGAACAATCGCACCGTCATTGAACAGAAAAAGAGGTCTCGACGAACCAATGCCTCTAGTTCAATCAGGACATATGTATCGAAGGGATCGTACTGTACGTTAACTATATCTGAAGGTTCTTGCAGGCACTTCATTTGTTTCTAGGGAATCATGACGCGTAGTTGCTAGACGCCAATCTTGATTCGTTGGGTGATTAAGGTGAAATGAGCTTCATCTTAACCGTACCTCTAAGGGACGAGTTTTGACCACAAAGGGTTGTGGCCCCACGGCTAGCTTATACCTGAACCATCGAGGGTCACACTGCTCGTGCACATGAGATCTTTGAATAAACGGTCAGAGATAAAATGGTTTATCTTTGCATGATTGGAAGTCAATATGATTGGGTCAACATTCGTAACTTGGAATTATGAATGAGAATAAGAAAAGGAAAAAAATAGGCAAACGTATTAGTGAACTTTCTAAATCGGGAAATTTCCAAATTTAGAAAGTGCACTGAATTAGGCTTTCCACTTTTGGAAAGTTGGAAATCGAGAGTTGGCACTCGTAATGACGAGGACATTATAATGATTCCGAAAATGTAATCGTTACAATTTTCCGATCATTGAGATGAGAGAGACGAGCAAGTAAAAGAACTAACGAACTTAAGCTGTTGGGCCCGGTCCAACTTAAGCCCGCTAGGGTTTTATGCAAGACACTATAAATACTTGATTTATAGGTCTTGCACACACACACAACAAAAAACCCTAACCCTAGCCGCTCTCACTCTTTCACGCTCGGCCATCTCCCCTCGGCCACCGCGCCGTCGTCGCCGGAATCGGCCATCCGTTAGCCGATCCCTTTCGGTATTCTTTTCCCTCTTTCTTTTCTTCCGTTTTTCTAACTATTACGTGTCTGGTGCCACGTGTTTAGTAGATCGAAGTATACGAGGTGAAATCCGAGATGAGGAAGATCGAAGATCGAAAAATCGAGGAGCAGCACACGAGCCGAAGCCGCACGCCTCCCCACGCGCGGCCCGAAGACCGCGCGTGAGTCACACGCGCCGCCGTGGCTCGTATTGCCGCTGCTGCCGTTTCGCTGCTTCTGCCCCGGATTGTACGAATTGGTTTCCGTAGCAATCTCGTCTTGCTTAGTGCGCCTACCTCACGCTTCAAGATGTAAACTCACAAATTCATTGTTCTTAGATTCGTTTATGTTTAAATAGAATGTTTATGTTCGTTCTTGTATGATTTTATGTGACTACATGGAATTATTTATTTATTGCGAGCATGAACCTTTGATTTAAACGCGAGCATGCTAATTGATTTAAATTCAGTTAAATTATTAAGCATGTATGTTGTTTTTATATTTCGCTGGAAGCGCAAAGGTACGCAATTAATTGTTTTAATTATCGGGCATGTGTTTATGTGTTTTAAAGTTGTTTAAATCGCATAAAAGTTTTGTTTTCCGCTGCGTACACGTGGCCGAGCGCCATGAATGAATAAGAAATTGACAGGGCCCGTTACCCAACAATCACATCTTTAAGATATCTCATTCTAGATTCCAACATGCTGACTTCAAGCGTACCATCGAGCGTGTGGCGCCTCACGGGTTTATTGTATTTAAACTTGTTGTCAAATTCCTTGAGCGGATCTATACCTCCAGAAATAGGTAATTTAGTGTCAGCAAAATATATCGATCTAGCATTTAACCACTTGTCGGATTCTATTCCAAGCACACTCGGAAATTTAATATCTTTGAGTCGTATGTCTTTGGCACATAATCTACTGGACGGTTCTATTCCCGAGTCCGTAGGGAAGATGGTCAGTTTGGAAAGTATAGATTTGTCTTACAATAACCCATCTGGCTCAATCCCAAAGTCTTTTGAAGCACTTCAACAACTCGACTACTTTAATGTCTCTTTCAATGCTCTGAGAGGAGAAATTCCCACTGGTGGTCCTTTCGTAAACTTCACTCTCGAGTCTTTTAAGGGTAATGAGGCATTATGTGGAATTCCAAGGTTCCACGTACCACTTTGCAACCATAATGTCTCCAAACACAGCCCGAGGATGAAAAATGTGCGCTTAGCTTTATTTATTGCTATTGGGGTTGTTGCGTTTATCTCGATTCTCTCTTTTGTCTTCATTTTTGTAAGATACAGAAGAAAAAATAAAGCAGTCAATGGAATTGACGAGCTGGTTCCCACTATACCTCCAGAAATAATTTCGTATTACGAACTCCTACAAGCAACTGAACAGTTTAGTGAGACGAACTTACTCGGCGTGGGAAGTTTTGGTTCTGTGTACAAAGCCGTTCTAAGAGATAGGAAGACTTTGGCAATAAAAGTCTTCAATTCGCTAACAGAAGCTGCTTCTAAGAGCTTTGAAGTTGAATGTGAGGTACTACGAAACATTCGCCACAAAAATCTCACCAAAGTAGTGAGCAGTTGCTCTAACGGGGATTTCAAGGCACTGGTACTGGAATACATGCCGAATGGAAACCTCGACAAATGGTTATATTCACACAACTATTGCTTGGATCTCAAGCAAAGATTGAATATAGTGATTGATGTTGCATGTGCGTTGGAATATCTTTACCATGGCTATTCGACTCTCATTGTTCATTGCGATTTGAAGCCAAGTAATGTGTTGTTAGATGAAGAAATGGTTGCCCATGTGAGTGATTTCGGGATAGCAAAATTGATGGGCGAAGGTGAGAGCACTATTCACACCAATACCCTAGCAACAATGGGTTACATCGCACCAGGTTAATTAATATTCTCACTTTCACTCATATTATTTTTATATATTTTTGATTGGATTTCACTTTCGATTTGTTGAATTATACGATTGTTGTTTTATAGAGTATGGTTTGGAAGGGCTAGTTTCGACAAGGTGTGATGTTTATAGCTATGGAGTGATGGTGATGGAAACTTTCACGAGAAAAAGGCCAAGCGATGATATGTTCGGTGGAGATTTAACCCTAAAGAATTGGGTTCAAATGTCACTTAATAATGAGTCATCAAGTGAGGTAATAGATGCCAACTTATTTAATACGGAAAACGAACAAGGCTTTGAGAAAATCGTGCAATGTGTGTCATCAATACTGGAGTTGGCTTTCAAGTGTTGTGTGGAATCTTCTTGTGATAGAATAAACATGAAAGAAGCTCTAACAGAGCTGCAGAAGATCAAAGTTCGATATTCCCGCAGGGATTAGACCTGAAACAGAGTTGAAAGGCCTCATTCAACTTAATTGCTGCCTGCTGGTAATCTTGTCCTGGTACAGCTTGGTACAGCTTCGACGATAAACTGTGTAATAATTCAAGGAAGAATAAAAATTGGTTTCAAAAATTGGTGGATTGGTTTGGAAATTTTGCGTTTTTTGCACCTTCATCCCCGCCTGGGGTCCTCTCTGCAATTATCGAAACTACCGCTGGAATATTTTTGACTTGGTCTAGGTAGTCCTAGTTTATTGCTTTTTTTACCCCATTGGGGCTTTTGTGTAATAACCTTGGTAGGGTTTGTTCTGATTTTTTATTACCACTAGCAAGATGCATGTGCGTTGCACGTGTCTAGTTAAGTACTTTGTTAATTTTGATTTTATGTATTGCATTTTTATATTAGCCTAAAATTTTACTATAAATTAAAAATTAGTATTATGTAGTTTTTCTCTAAAAGTTTCAAGAAAAATTCTATGATCAAGTTAAAACTTGCAATTTTTGCTTTTCCATAATGAGATTGTGACTGAATTTCATGCTACGGTAAGAAATTACTGGAAAGCTCATACCATTGCCTGAACACCTCCGAACAATTTGTTTTAGAACATGCTATGTTTTAACTTTTTAAAAACTTGTATTATATTTTATAAGTTAGTAAAAATGAGAAGATTCACTTGAGGACCAAGAAGATAAGGGGAGTAATGAATATAAGCATATGACAAATAGGCCCATAGGATTAGACTTAAATGCATATAAGTCCAGACAAAAAATAGTTTCGCAAATAAACGCATCCCCATGCCTTTTGTCTAAAAGACGCTTCAGAATATAATTTTCATCAATTCCATCCATTATACTCTAACTTCATCAATACTGCACATTAACCCCAGATTTGAACAAACATATCACATGAACCACCATTTTCACAATTTTTTGAAAAAAATATATTTTTGTAGAAAATTAATTTTTTCAAGGAAAATGAGGGATAACCCCCTCATTAGGTAAAATAATATAGCCTAGGCCCAATTTATAATTGACTATTTGTAAACAAACTCATTTACTATTTTTTGAATTGTGTGACCCCCTACCTAAGCTTATGTTAATGGTCATTATGCCCTTTTTTGTCCATATTTTTCTCATACTATCTCTCTCTTCTCCTTACTACTCTCTTATCTGTCATTTAATATTCTCCATTCATTTCTCTCTCTTCCTTTTTTTCCTAACTTTTGAGGTATTTTTTTTATTCTCTCTCCTCTCTCCTCTTTTCTCTCTCTTCCCTAATTTTTTCTCTCTCTCTCTCTCTCTCTCTCTCTCTCTCTCTCTCTCTCTCTCTCTCTCTCTCTCTCTCTCTCTCTCTCTCTCTCTCTCTCTCTCTCTCCTTTCTTTTCCCTCATTTCCTCTGTTCTCGTTTGTTTCTGTTTCATTTTTTCTCTTTTATTTTTCTCTATTTCTTCTCACTACTTTATCTTTTCTTCTACATCTCATTTTTTGGTTGTTGAAATCAATCTATTTTCTACTCTAGGAAATTCATGTTTTCACCACAGATGAGATTTTTATCACGAGTATTCAATTTTATAACACCATAGTATCTTAAATTGAAATATAATATAGTGAATTAATGGAAAAAATATAGTTGACTACCAATTTTTTATAGTTGATATCGAACAATTATAGTTGACTATCCAATTTTTGTAGTTGACTCTGGCAACAATATAGTTAACTACCATTTTTTTATAGTTGACATCGTAAAAATTATAGTTAACTATCTAATTTTTATAGTTGACTTTGGAAAAAATATAGTGACTTATCTGATTTTATAGTTGACTCTGAGTGTAGATCACTGCAATATTTTATGTTTTTCGACAATAATGATCTCTTCTTTGTTGTGGACTCTCATAAAACAAATTTCATAGGAAACAAATATTTATGAGTCAACAAATAGTGCGACCATAGATCTGTAGATCTAAAAAGCAAGCTTGTTTACAAACTCCATTTTTGAGTAATCAATCATGGAAGAATTCCGAACCTTCGCATATGGTCGTCGCGTACTGTTGCATACCGTTGATGTAAGAGACTTCAATTTGTCCTTTAAGAGTCGTTGAGAAGGGTGTCAAAAACAGAAATTATATGGTACATATACATAGATTATGTTAATAGACGTCGATGGGAGCGATGAGTGTATAGGAAACTACCTGTCTTCTTGTTGCTACCTTTTCACCATTGTTGTCGACCTGTATTTCTCAACGATTCCCACACAAACGTTATTTGGTTTTTTTTTGAAGAAATGTAGCAAACTAGGGCATTGTTGCAACTGGAAAAGGATCCAATATATTTGCAGATGTTTTTGCGATTTTCTTGGCACAAATATAGCAGACTAGCGGAAATTGGGGAGAGATTGTATTGACGAAATGGTTGAATATATGCAGTTTTAGGGAAAATGCTATTAGAAATTATGGGGTAGTTCAGTAATTTCTAATTATGAGGGGGTTTGACCCATTAAAAATAATGCAAGGTGGTTATTCCTAATATTTTTCCTAATGAGGGGGTTGTATCGTATTAACCCTTTTTTTTATGAACTTTTTTTTCCGGTAAAATTACGGCGTTGTTTTTTTTTTTTTTTTTTTTCTGAAATTGTTTTCCCAATCGATCAGCCGCCGTTGAAATTGGATGAACAAAAATTACACAAAGAGACAAAAAAAAATTGAATGTCCATATTAATTAGGCAAATGTCAAATAGGGTTGTGCGCTAAAAAGAATTTCATGAACTGGTTTTTTGCTATAGTAATAACACACAGAGATTTTTAACCATTCGATATAATATAATAGGTACTAAATGCAATAAAATGAAAATACCTTTCAGTTTTCATATGTTATGGTCTTGTAAGAATCACTTCCTCCATGCTTTTAACTTTTCCATTTTCAAAAAATCATGTATTTATAGTTGATCATAAATTCCCATAAAATATACTATTGAAAAATGTATTTACTTTGTTCATATTAATTACAAAAATATATTATTATGGAAAGCCTGCACCAAATTAAATCCCTCTGCATTAATTTTATTGGGTAGAATCCTCCTATGTTTTATTTTATGTTGCATCCGTTAACCTTTAACACCGTTAACTATTGAGGGGGACAATCTCAACCAAAACTTAAGTTGTTAGTGAAATTTATCATTTAATATTAACATCTCCAATACGGCCCCTCAAGTGCAGACGAATTACATTTGCAGACACTTAAAATATTTGAAATGGGTGTGGGATTCAAACTCATGACCTTTTAATTGGTTCTCCTTTTAATTGGTTCTGGCTCTGATACCATATGTTGAATGACCACTTCTACTATACAAGGGGGATTAGACAAAACAAAATTTTCTTACTTATAAATATTAACATTTTTGATTTATTAAAATTTATATATTATCAATACCTATAGTTTTGAATTTTTTTTTATAATACAGAACTTTATCCTAAATTAAAAAAAAAAAATCAAAGTTTTATTTACTTTCAGTGTTGATGGAATTCTTTTTATGATAAAAGAAAATAGAATCAAATTCTGTAAATCCAAATAAGAAAACAACTGTTCTAAAAATTAAAATTTTGAATTGGAAATGACAAAAGAAAAAAAAAAGAAATTGTTAAAAAATTTGCCCGAACCATTAGTCTTTAATTTTTTATACTGCAACTGAATAATTGCCTTAATTTGAAAAAATAATTTGAATTATAAATAAACAAATTATTTTTGCATAAGCCCTCTTTGTATTGTAGAAAATATACACCAAAACCTCTTGTGTTACTAAAAAGTTGCATAAAGTCCCCTCAATAGTTAACTATGCTAAAAGTTAACAAAATAGGACATTTTATGCAAGATAAAATAAATTATAGGGGGATTCTACGCAGTAAAATTAACACTGAGTTTTGTGTAGTTTTTCTATAACACATAAGTAATTTATGTTTATTTTACCCTTCTTAACTGCAATGCACTGAGTTTGGTGCAGATTTTTCATAACAAGTGAAGGTTTTATGTTGTTTGCCCTTCTTAACTGTGGTACCGAATGAAGAAACCGATATCGGAATTACGCCCATTCTCATTTCCACTGATGGCTAGTATTAGTCTACTAATTAACTAATATTAGAATGTATTAGAATCTAACTGATCGAACACAAAGTTAAATGATTTCATTGATCAATAAATCTTTAATATAATTATTATTAAAAAACTGATGAAGTATCAATCAAACACTAAAAAATATTTTTTCAATAAATCTTATAATAGCAATTATTATAGTTATTAATGATTAATATCCTAATTAATTATTAATATTAACTAACATTATCAAAATTAAATAAATTATCAACAATAACTGAAACAAATTGTATACAACCAAAACTAGTCAAATATATTGAGGAAATAAAATTGCAAAACAAAAGAGTACCTGATCATGAGAAAATACTTCATGGCCATATAAATGTTTTGTTGCAGAACCATATCTATAATAGTTGAATCAATTTGCCTAAAAGTTAGTATACATTCCTACATATCAATAATTTGATCTCATAATTACCCAAATGAATAATAACAAATACAAGCAATCCTAAAGTAAGCAATAAAAAAATCCTAAAGAGAAAAAATAAGAAATAAATAAATGGATTATACATATATTCTTGACAATAATCAAATCTTCTCCGTCAGGCCGTGACCATGTGTATAGTTGTCCATTTTGACATAAGCCAACAAAGAGAACGAAGTTGGAGATGTTAGAAATTGTGAAATCATCGGTTTCCCCTATCTGATTATCTACACCACCGGCTGCGGACATTGGGTGATTTCCGCCACGTAGACTTATATGTCTTGATTTTTTTCAACAACGTAGAGTGTTGGGAAGAAATATATGTTATTTTGCCCTTTTTTTTTATGATTTATATTACAATTGGTTGGGATATTACCAATGTACATATTAATGACTAAACCATACAAATACCGTTATCAATGAAATTTATGCTAATTAAATGTCAATGAACATTCATCTTCCCATACATTAATCGTACAGATTAATTTATGAATTAAATAATCATATTATACAAACTTCCAAGAAACAACAACAAAATAGAGCGGATTAATTTGCTATAATAAAATATTACCATATTGTCCTTCACATATTGTTTTTGAAAGGGGTATTTTTGTACAATAAAAAAAGGGAAGAACCCACTAATCACATTTTGTACTTTTATAAGTAGTATAGATATAGATTGTAGAGGTACTCTTTTTCCCTGTGTAGGCTCACAAGGTTTTAACGAGGCCCCAAACCCTCTACAATAATGGAATAATAAAATCTTTTTGGCAAAAAAAAAAATATTGCTAGGGATTGAATTGAAAATTTTGAAAACTTCATTTGGGCTTATGAAAAACTTTGGATAAATTTGCAATTTTTGAAAAAATGTTTTAAAGGGTATTTGGATCTTTCTAGGTTCAAAATCAGAAGTGTAGTCGCATAAACAACGAGTGTACACATCGAGCTCACATGGTTCTTTTTGGCTTTGACTAATTCTCAGAGGAGTTATGTGCTATTTTTTTAAGGACAAATTGCACTTTGTCCCCTCGAAAAATGTCATTTTTGCACTTTCCCCCTCAAAATAGAAAAATGAGACTGTCCCGTTCGAAATATATAATTCGGTGCACTATGCCCATAGTGTGAATTTACTATTTCGAGCTAATTTTTGCCAGATTAAGGGTGTACATGTCATTTTACTTTTTTCGCTTTAAAACCCATTTTCACTACTGAGTTACGGAGGGTCCTGAAGCCACAATATTCACTTCCCAAATTGACGAAAAGATCGATGGTGAAGAGCTACCCCCAATTCTCCGCGACTCCAGTTCCCCAATATTCAGTACAAAAGAAAAAAATATCTAAGGAATGTATAAAAAATTATGACAAATTTTCACGTTTGAGGAATCGTTTGAATAATCGATGGAGAACCACGCCGTCGATTCAATTGATTTTAGGAGAAAAGAAGAACCCAATGTTTTTTTTGGGTTATTCGATTTGGGAGAGAAAAGAGAGCCCCAACGGTAATATGGTGTGGAAGATGGTCAAATAATATTTATAGCCTTAAAAGACGAAATTACCCCTCCCAATTACTGAAATCCAGCAAGAATTATCCCAAAAATACATATTTGGGGCAAAGTGCACCTAGTTATATATTTTGAAGGGGAACAGTCTCATTTTCCTATTATGTAGGGGAAAGTGCAAAAAATGGTTGTTTTTTGAGGGGGTGAAATGCAATTTGCCCTTTTTTAAAAGTAAGTCAAGTTTCTCAAATTTCAGGCAAATTCAGACAAATTTCTCCATTACTTCAGGATTTTTCAAACTCTATTCGGAACTCCGGCGTATGTGGCACCGGAGGTTTTGGCTAGGAAAGGATACGATGCCGCAAGGTTGATATTTGGAGATGTGGTGTGATTTTCCCCCCATTAGATTCGTCTTTAAACACGTATGATTTAAACCAATTCCGTGGCACGGATCACGATTCCGGAAATTATGAATACTTGTGGTTTTCTACATTGAGAACGATTAATTATGCAATGTCGATTCTTGTGAGCCTGAAGATATTGCTTCTTTATCTGATACTGAAATGGAAAGTAGAAGGATATTCTTATGAATAGCTATGGTGTGGAGTGTGGAGCGAATACATGGACTTCCGGTATTGGTGGATGGTGCAGCTCGAGCGGTGTTGGTTGGAATACCTACACGCAAGTGCACGTATCGTACAAGTAATAAAGTGGACAATTAAGTCCGGATATCGATCCCGCAGAGAATATTTAATTATTTAATCCTAGACACTAAATTCTACCAATTATTATCAAGCCCACCCTACACAGCCGACTTTAGAGAGAATTAACTAAACTAAAATAAATTAAAAAGCAAATTAAAAAGACAAGAGCACGAAAGCAATTAAAAACGAAGGTTTAATCAGAGTAAATGAGCCTAGGATTTTATTCTTCCCCGTATGTGATTATTACTCCCCCAATTCTTTCAATTATGCAAGCAATTAACCCTGATTATTAACCTGAGATGCTAAAATAATCATAACCCGCTTCCGCGTCTATTACGATTCTAATACTCTAGATTCAATTACTATATTCCAATGCAATTAATTCTGGAACACAGCATTAAACACAAATCTCAATAATGGCTACCTAAGAGATTAACTATATTCCTATGTTAATACCACAAAGGCTCTTCTACCACAGTTCTACTTATTAACCCGATCTTCCGATTCATGCGATTAACAATAACATAAAAGCACATAAAGTAGCCAGTTTCATGAACTTAATAAAACAAGTAGAATAAATAATCCGTAATTAAAACTTGCATAAAATCATAGAAAAGGGTTCATAATCCCACATAGGGTTCCAAATAAAATCCTAGAAATAAGAAAATTAGCTACTCGTGATTAAAGGAAAAACGCAAATAAAGTTAATCATAAACGATAAGTCTATGCTTCGAGTCTTCGAATTCTTCGTTATTGCTTTGTTGCTCTTGAAATTGCGTAAAAGATCCCCAATTGTGTGCTTGGCTTGGTCTTATATAGGGTGTAAAATTTGGAGAAGAAGGAAGTTTCCTTGTGTAATTAGGATTCCTTTACTGCGCCTTTTCGTAATCTCAGACGACCGTCCCGAATTTTGCACTAAAACTCGGACGGCCGTCCCAAAACCAGAGGTTGCTTCTGCTTCTCAGACGGCCATCCTAGTTTTAAGTGTAAATCTGGGACGGCCGTCCCAGGCTAATTTCTTTAGATTTTTTATTTCTTCACTTTTGGCCCATATTTTCTCCAAAATTATAGTTTTGACCCCATACTTTTCCAATTCTTCAATTTGTACCTAAATTACAATAAATCAACTTTTAAAGCACCAATTATCGTTAAAACACACAAAAAGATCAAATAAAAAGGTACGATAAAGTGTAAAGATATACACTTAACACACCCCCAAACTTGAGCTTTTGCTTGTCCTCAAGCAAAATCTGTCAATAAGCAAATAACTCTACTACTACATCTCATTACATAGATCAATGATCAACTTCACATTTTCAAAACATGTAATTATAATGACAATTCTTAGGCATTCGCAAGCTCAAAATTCAACGACACTTAGTCACTCACCATTACCAAAAACCACAATTCATACAATTGTTTCAAGCATCCAAATACATGCATATGTTTGACTCCAAATACTCTCCAAATACTCCAAATACTTACATGCATATGTTTGACTCCAAATACTCACCAAATTATTCTACTCTACTAATATCGAACATTAAGATATTGGGATCATTGGGGCTTTGTGGCTTTCAATTGTTAGGCTCTTTGGTTCGAGGTAGGAAATATGGGTATATGTGGCTATTCTTCTTGAATTGAGGTGATTACGCCAAAATTTGAAAGATAGGCGTTTGAAACAATGAATTCACCTCTAAGGACTTTAATAAACTCGATTCTTAGGAGTTCAAAAGTCTCCACTTTTCCTCTTAAGACGATGGATCGAGCTTTCACAACAATTCAACAAATAGTCCTTACTTCTCCCTTCTAGTCTCTTCTTCTTCTTCTTTTTTTTTTTTTTTTTTTTTTTTTTAATATATGTTTATATATATATATATATATATATATATATATATATATATATATATATATATATATATATATATATATATATATATATATATATATATATATATATAAAAATATATATATATATAAAAATATATATATATATA